TTTACCACTCGTTGGCGCTTAGCGTCCTTTTTTAATTTGAAAGTACATTAGGTACATATACACCATTTTCGGTATAGTATGTATTTGCAACATAACCAAAACTAAAACATCGCCTCGAAAGGTTCTTCCAGTTATACCATAGCTTAACGTATTAGAGAAGGTGAATCCGATTGTCATTGTAGTATTTTCATATTGTAAAAAAGATTTGACGAAATGTGAAATGCGTAACGAAATGTATATCATAATTTTATGGGTACATTCGTTGGCTTATAGGTACAATTTTTTCCTTAAATTAAGAATAACCTTCAAGTTCCATTTGCAATCCGTGTTTCGCAATGATCGACATGGAAAACCAGAATTATTGAATTCGCCAAGTTGAATGCCTTATTGCACCTTCATCAAGTACTGATTCTGCCTGATCGGTGAGATGGCCAGACGATGATCGATACGACGAATTTGGTGGTTGGCTTTGGAGAGGTGTGCTCTGGTGCAATCTCAGCATATGCACATACATACATATGTAGTTCATACTTCATATATGTACATACATGCATATGTACATACGTATACTTTAATTCTATCAATTCAAGATAATAAGGTAAATATGTACATATGTATGTATGTATTAGCTCATATGCGTTGCGCCTTGCGTTGCGCCAATATGCTCCAGAGCGCTTATTTCCTACTCTCGCATACAGCGCGCGGAGAGCAGATTCTTATAATTTGTTCAGCTATTGACATTTCAGCGAGTGCATGATGCAATTGGCGGTGTGGGTCCTTTGTACTTACATACATACTTACATAAGGACATACCTACACATAGATATATACATATACAAAATACATTCAATCATGCGATGAGAGCAAAGAAAAATAAAACGGGCAGGTGGGCGAGCATATTGCAGACAGACATCTATTGACGAGATTTGTAAAACTAGGATGCGTAGATTTTTGAAAAAGTTGATGAATTGGTTTAGGGGTTTACATTTTATGCATATGAGCATATGTATGCATGTATGTACATATGTATCTAATTGTATAGAAAGGTATACAAATTTATAAAAGATATATTTGATAGCAAACTTAAATGCTTTTGCTCCTAACTAATTAATATAGTATTTCCAGTGTATTTTGTATGAAATAATAATGTAGTACATACTATATAGTTACGGTGACCATCCGTTCTGTTTTTTGCAGGACCGTACTGTTTTTCAAAGGTCGGTCCTGCGTAGTTTTTCAAACCTGAAAAACCTGAAAATGTACTGCTTTTTTCCAAGTGTCCTTCCTGCATTTGTCCCGCATTTTATTCGTTATTTTAAAATTATCGGACAATGGATGGATTTTTTCAAAAAAGTATTTCTTGGTACTTTTCGTAGCTTTTGTTCAATATCTTATGAAAAAATCTCCCAATCAACGTAAGCGACTTACATCTCGAAGGGTATTGATGTGCCTCTTACCAAAATATATAACTTGTGGCGACTTCAATGAAAATTATTAGTGCTTTGGCGACCATTTGCATTTTGTCGTCACAGTCGAAAAAAGTGAGATTTTCAATCAAATGCGCAGTTTTATTTGATTATTTTTTTCATTAGTTTAAAAATTCGATAAAGAAGATATATCATTACAGTAAATTTGAGCCAACGATAATCAAAATCGAATTAGAAATGCTATGAAGCACAATCTGCACAAATTATATATTTTTGTAAAGGGCACATTTGTAACTCGTCGCTTACGTCGATTCATGACGTCGATTTTTGACAAATAACTGCGAAAAGTACAAAAAACAAAAAAGGGTATTGTTTTCGTTTTGAACGCCTCAAAATTTGCTTATAAAATAATCTTTTAAAGATTTTCACTTTTCGTGTAAGCTATTGTAATTATAATATGTTTTACTATACTTTTATAAATATTCATGTAAAAAAGATTACTATCGATGAAGAAAACGTGATTCCTTTTCAAAGTTTAAAATGTATTAAGAATTTAGAATCATAAATACTCTTTCGATATTTTTATACTACGTAAATATATGTAGGCATATTTTTGAAGAAAAGTCCTTCATTTTGAATCCATATTTGTGGTCACTGTATATATAGTATGTTTGAGTAAGCTTTTAGTGAAAGCTATCTGTACATATGTACGTAGTATGTGGTATGTGGCATATGTACATATTCGCGGTTAAAGTCATAAAAAGTGTTTCTAGTGAAATGCCAATGTGCTCGTAAATGATTTCGTCACTGCTGTCACATGGTCGCAGTTGAAAGAGCCCATGGCTGAATGTTGACAAGGATACGTCATTTTGACGACAGCGATGCAGAGCAGTACGTTGCTAGTGGTTCCAAGATTAGCGACACCGAAACCGCTAAAAAACACCTACAATTTTCACTCTATATCTATGTATGCATGTATGCACATATGTATATGAACATACATATATTTGTGTTGCAAGTTCGTGGCGCTTTCCATATAAAATGTTGCTACTAAGATGAGCGGCAATTTCCCTATTCGTGAACATACATATGTATATACATAACGGACGAGTGCTTCCACACAAATTTTGACATACGAACATATGTACGTACAAGGTATGTATCGACAGATATACATATGTAAGTATATCCATCCATACATATGCATGTATGTATGTGCCTATGGACCACATAGAACTTTGCTAAGATGCAAACCTTGGCAAGTGAGTGCGCGCCTAAAAGTAATGCAAGGTCGCCACAGAGTGCTAGCGTAAATATTTAGTTTGATTTGCGTGTCTTTTCGGAGTCTTACATGTGTATGTACCAGGTTTCTTGCGAATATTCGCATTCGCATTCGCAACCGCGGAGCTTCCGCAATAATTTTAACATTCGCATTCGCTTTCGCATTCGCATTAATCAATGTGGATCTTTTGCGACTGCGAATATTGAAGGGACCGAAAATAACAGTTTTTTTTTACGAGTTAAACTTGGCCAAATATTTTTTATTCCCAACTAAAAGTCCTTTCTGGATAATGATCAAACCGCTTGTCCAAATTAAACAAGTTTGGTATCAAATGAAAGAGGACTTAAATAGCTTTAAAACTGAAATGTCTAAACGAGCAAAGCCACCTATTGAAAAATATTTCAATAAAAAATGTTAACATAGAACAACCATAGAACAAACCTTGGGTCAGGTATATGAATTTCTTTAGTATTAAATGATATAAAAAATATATAAATAGAGGCGGTAACCTTCGTGCGTTATTTCTGTTTAAAAGCTATTTCAGTCCTCTTTCACATGATATTAAATTTGTTTAATTTTGATAAGCTGTTTGTTTATATTCCGAATAAAAAATATTAGGCCAAGCATAACTGGTAAAAAATAACTGTTATTTTCGGTTCCTGGAATATTGTGCAAGTGCACTGATAAAACGTATATCTGGCCAGGCACAGAAGAAAGGATTAAAAATGAATTAATGAAGAATTCTTTGGAAAACAATGGTGTTTAAACAACGATCTTGCCATGATACTAGATTGTGGAGATGAAAGTCAGGAGGATACATCCGACATTTGCAGCCCGATTCCATTCTCAAAAAAGAATTATTGCACCGCAATAAAAAAAAAAACGAAATAAATATAACTGAAAGTCTTCTCGACTGGTGCAGCGTCAATCGAAAAGAATTTACAAGTTTGTCTCCTCGAGCGAGCAGGTATTTAGTGGCCCTGATTTACGACCCTTTAAAAACTTTTTATTGGATACAATGTTCCAATTTTTAAATTCATGTACTAATATAATGAGATAAACTTGTATAGATATATGTGGGCGGCATCACGCCCATTTTCAAAAATTCAATAATAATGTTATTTCTTTTCAAGGGGTTGTTTGGGTAAAATTTGCGTCCTTAAATTTCGAAATATCGAAGATTCAAGCATTTCTGAAATATACCGTTATGAAAAAGTGCGCGTAATTTTAGTCCGATTTCGATGACTTTCAACGTTTTGCCTTTATGTAGCAACCACAATAATCATAATGAGTTTGGTGCACATTGATCGAACGGTTACCAAGATACACATACTATGTATGTGATCATAAGTGGGCAGGGTCCCGCCCATTTTCCAACATTTTATTATAAGCATACTTTTTGCTAAAGAATTATTGCAAACATCAATCTTGAATAAATTAGCTCCAGTATTTACTGATTTATCGAAGCTTTCGTATTTCTCTAAATTACCGTTAAATTCTAAGCCGTTTGGTATGTTTTGTGAAGGCCAACAACTGTGTCAAGTTTGGGAGAAACTGGTGGAGCGGTTCCCAAGATATACACATGTAATCATAGGAGGGCGTGGCTACGCCCATTTTCCAAAAATTTATAATATTCTTATTTTTCGTCTGAAAGTTATTGTAAATATTAATTTTGAGTGAATAAGCTTCAGTAGTTACTAAAATATCGCAGTTTTCGTATTTCTGAAAACTACCGTTGCATGGGAGGTAGGCGTGGTTATCGTCCGATTTTGCCTATTTTCAATACCATCCGTTCTACGCTCAAAAGAAGTACACATTCCAAGTTTCGGTAAAATATCTCAATTTGTACTCGAGTTATCGTGTGCACAGACGGACGGACGGACGGACGGACAGACAGTCACCGCTTAATCGATTTCTCTTTTCATTATGTTCATTTATGTATAAATTTGTCTATATCTATTTCGATTCGTTTTTCCTGTTACAAACAACCGTTATGTGAACGAAGTTATAATACCCTTGTGCACAAGTGCGCTCGGGTATAAAAATACATGACATCCGTATTCGCATAAGCATCCGCGGATGTTAGCGTTTAAAAATCCGCATCCGCATTCCACATTCGCAACATCCCTGGTAAGTGCATGCTATGTGTATATTAGGAATGTTAATGATCCCGGAATCCCGGAGTTTTTAAGGTCTCGAAAATCCCTTGCTCACACTTGCTTGTTATCGGGTTAAACATTAATGTTATTATTGTACTTACATACATATGTATTTACATATATTTTGTTCAGTTTCTAACAACAAAATACACTGAAGAATAATAATCATTAACCATATAAGTTATAAACCAAGAAAGTTGTGAATCACCTAATTGAAAATTGAAAAAAAAAAATCATTTTGAAATCACAGTAATAACAACATAGGTGCGCGTAGACCAATATTTTCAAATCGTGATGGAAGTATGGAAATTCATCTGGCAATACTTTGTCTTGTCCAGATGCAAAAATTGAAAAAGGCCGTTATCGAAGAAGGTACAAATAGCAACGTCTATTGAGTTGTAAAAATTTACAAAATTACCACTCTTTAATATCGATATTCAGGGCTGCCACTGAATCCATCGTGGTCCGAAGTTTCGTTAAATTCACTGCATCCGAATAGCTACGGACAAGGCATATATTTTGAATGCATACGTTCGTAGAAAATCGGATCCAGTGATCACATTTTCGTAGATTTCACGAAAATCGGACTACCATGAATTCAACGATAGCGCAGATTATGTCTAGTTTATTAGTAACCAAAAACAATTGCCAATTTAATCTGGTCTAACAACATCCGTGACTGCCCGCTGTAGTGTGTGCATCAGTGACTTTGCCCTCAAAGCCTGGACGACGCGTTGTATGTAGTGCATTTTCGGTTTTCAATTGTAAAACAAGAACATTCAATATAATCGCAATGATAAAGAAATTAAAAACAAAACTTCGCCTAAATGAAGAATGAAGAAACAAAATGTACGCACGATATCTTTGATCGTGTGCACATTTACATATTTACTAGTTGGCGCTGCAGTATTTGACTCACTTGAATCGGAAACGGAAAAGCGGCGCTGGGAAGCACTGCAAGGTGAGTAACCGTGAATGGAACTAAATACATATGTAAATATGTTTGTATGTACTTCTACTTGATATTTACATGCATACATGTACACATATATCTGTAAGAAGCCCAGCACAAGTGGCCCACTTTCATGAGCGCATTAAATAAAGTATTTATAAGGAAAAGTTTACACTTGTGTAGGCACTTGTATATGTACCTGCGCTTGTGCTAAGGGGCTCTCATGCATGATAGGTTTACGAACACAACGGCAAACACTTGAATTTAAACACATGCACCTCATACATATACATATACATATATGCTGGCCACTGACATACTTATCTACATAGATGAGTATTGCTTGTAAGTCAGCTTTCTATTTAAACAATTGGCCTTTGACGTCATTTGCCAATAAATATTGATGGCAATTAGTGAAGTGCATAACTTTTTTTTGAGGACATATTTCTGACAATTTTTTAAGAAGAGGTAAGCTCAGCAATTTCGTTACTATGGCAGCACGGCAAAGTCTTCGGGAAATGCTGTTTCGTAGAAGTTATTTTTCCTTATGTACGTAGGTATGTAGTTCCTAAGCATGAAAGAAGGGAACTTAATAGAGAAAATACCAGAAATCTTCTCCGATTTGTGGCGTGCGCCTTGATGTTGTCACACAAAGGGGAGGCACCTACAGTTTTACGCCGACTACGAACGGCGATTGTATTTTTATGAGAAGCTGTTTTTAATGGCAGAAATACACTCGGAGGTTTGCCATTGCCTGCCTGGGGGCCACCGCCGTTGAGAAAATAATTTTTTCCAATTTTTTCTTGCGGCATTGCTTTAACTAGGGCTTTAACCATGGAAGGGTAGGGGGAGTTATCCTGATTCCAAATATGTTGTTTTTAATTGCGGGGGGGCCTTATAGCTTTAAAGTTATTTGTTGTTAAATTGAATTTCAAAAACTTAAAATTGAATTTCAAAACTAAAGGCTTCTTCAAATCTCTTTCGGGACATGTATTTCAATAAACTGATGAACTAATTCGAATTTAATTATTCGAACAAATGGCAACCCTCCCAAGTAAAGGTCGGGAATAAATCCCTTTCAAACCCACTACGATTTATGACCATCTTTTAATAATTCTTGCAACTTACTGAAAAATTTGAATGAAACTTTTTAAACACGTGGCAACTTTCGTTTGACTACGGTATTTTTATATTTCATATACTTTTTGAATTAGTTAATTGAGTTAGGCCTTTAAAACAGGTGGCAGCCCCCTTAAAACGTATTTTCAAGCTTAATCATTGTTAACTCCCCTACAAGAAAAGGACTTTTTTTCTGACCTCTTCACTAACACACTAAAATATACACCAATACACAGAAAAACATTTGCAAAAATGACCTTAGGATATACATACAATAAGTAGAAAAGAGACCTTTTAGCACTGCTGGTAAAATCGCCATGTAAGAAAGGGACTCATAGGCCCATGTACACAAAAGAACCGATCAGGTTTTTCATATTACCCCCGAATTTCTGATGAGAAAATTGCAGCATTATTGCATCAGCACTGACCGTCAGGTGACCGGTCATTTGCCAGTAAGATTTCTGGTAGGGTCTCCCTCGCCAGACACTACGATAGATATTTTAATTAACTGATTAATTACGTGGAATTTTAATTTTCAATCATGTGGCAACTCCGTTAAATACAGTTCAGAAATAAAAATTTTTCCAACCCCCTTCGTTTGATACTCATATTTTAATAATTCATTTAACTTATAAAATAATTTGAATTCAACTTTTTAAACAGGTGGCAACCCTCTTCCAACACGACCCAAATATACTTAGTGTTCAAACTAAAGACTTCTTAACACTCTTTTTTTTACATCCATATTTTCACATTTTATATAACTTGTGGTTTTAGATAAGTTAACTAAATTCGAATTTGCGAGCAGGTGGCAACCCTCTTCAAAATATTTTCGAACTGCGACCTTCTGAACCCCCTTTCGTTTGGCACCCATTTGTTGAAACATACTTCTCCTAACGAATTCCCTTAACTCAAATTGAATTTAATTTGTTAAACAGGTGACAACCCTCCTAAAGTTAAGTTTAGAAGTTTTTAAACACCATTTTGAATGATGCCCATTTGGTAATAATTTATTTATTATTATGCGTTCAAAGGGGGTCATTGATATTCTTACCATGTTCTAACTTCTTCTTGATACACCAGTAACCTTTTGACGTGCCTAGGATAAATATCTGCGCAGTTTAAACAATTGCTATTTCTTTAAACCCATTCTTCATTAAGTCATCTAAAAAGTAAATTCGTAGGTGTATCGAAATACCTTGATTCCAGCGACATCCATGTTTTGGGTCTATTTTTTTGCAGAAGCAGTTCTTATCATAAAGTTAATCAATAAATACCCGTTAATTAACACCCTCAAATTCTCAACTTATTCTTAAAAAAAAAAACATTTTCGCATGACATCTGGCATTAAACATTTTTTGCTCGGTTATTTTTTACCCAATTTTAAGTTTTTGTATAGCTCTAGAAAGAAGAATATTTATACTTTTTAAAGAAATAATAAGCTTTGTGAGCACATTATAAATATTGCACACGATCGTTAAAAGTGACACCATTTTAAATTTGGAATTTTTGTAATTATGCGCTAAAAATGCACCCAGAACTTTTATTTACATTAACATTAATATTCCGAGTTCAACAGACAGACAGAGATGTAGGTTGATCCTGAAAGTGTTCTATGTGCGTTAAAAGATAAGGAATTTAAAGCTGTCTGCATACATTTGAATAATTTGATAGACGAAGAAGTCTCTGCATCTGATCGCAAGTTACAGATGTCGATACAAATTTTCATTTCTGTCTATATAGTTCAATATGCAAACATATACATATGTATGTATGTATGTATGTATGTATGTATTTAGATATAACTGTTTTATAGTCTAAAAACGAAAATGCTTATCCAAAATGATTAATTTCCATTTCCATTGCTTGTTTGCAGCTGTCGAAGATATGATAATACGAAAATACAATATTACACAAGAGGATTTCAAAGTGATGGAGACAGTTGTGCTTAAATCGGAACCACATAAGGCTGGTCAACAATGGAAGTTTACTGGTGCGTTCTACTATGCAACAACAGTGTTGACTACAATTGGTTATGGCCACTCTACGCCAAGCACAATCGGTGGCAAACTTTTCACAATGTGCTATGCGATTGTGGGGATACCGTTGGGCCTTGTTATGTTCCAGAGTATTGGAGAAAGAGTGAATAGACTGAGCAGGTTATTTGATTATTCGTTATCTCCACGCATACTGCTTACTGCATCGTACCTCCGTACTTATGTACATAATAATGACTACATATAAATGTACAGAATTATGTGAACACACACACTCCGCTTCATTTGAATAGGCGTATTGTTCCTAAAGGATTCGAGGTTACATACATATGTATGTATGTACGGATGTCTTTACTCGTAGGTGTCGGTGAAACTTTGTTTTAGTCTCATTTTGTAGAATAGTCTTTTAGGAAGAAAAGGGCCAAAAAAGAAAATTTACCTGCTATGTTTTGGTAGTTTTTATCTAAGCGACTTAATAGCGCACTTTCAATTGCATAAAAAGAGAAAGCGAGTAAAGAAGTGCCAAAAATGCGAGTTATCATTGAATTTAAAAAAAAATACCCAATTTTCACGAACAAATTCTTTAATTACAGAGTTGGGCAATTTTAAATAAGCTGCGGCGTTGTCTATTCGTTAAAAGCATTATCAGCTATAATTTTGCCAAAAATAAAAGTTTTTTAAAAGTTTATTTGGTTTTCTAGAAGGCAACATAGTTTTTCCATACACTCACAGTGTTTCTGGGTAATTTTCAGCCAAATTATTATTTAGTATTTAAGGGAAACTTCGAACCGGTAAGCATACAGCCCTTGACGCTAGACTTTCTGCATGTGATAAATAAAATATTAACTGAATTCATTACCCAAAAACAGAATAGGAAGGGGTAAATTCCAAAAACTATGTACATTTTGATCCAAATTATTATTTGGTATTTGATGGCAACTTTAAACCGATAAGCATATAGCACTTGCCGATAAAGGATTTGCATATGATAAATAAAATATTAACTGAATTAAACCGTTTTTTTTCTCTTTAAATTGACTAATTTCTCTTATTGGGTCAAAATGGCCCAAAACGTTATAGGAGGGGGCATAGAGTATATGTAAATATGTGGTCTGGTATACACAAGCTTAGTTTTTAAAGAAAGGCACTGCACCTATTCAAGTGAAGCGGGGCGTACACATTGCATATTGGTATGTATGTAAGTATGTACGAGTAGCATAACATTTTTCTTAATAAGTATTAGAGCAGCATACGAATGTAGTACATCAAGGATTTAGTTATTAAAATATTTACTTATTTTCTTTACTCATTTATTGAACCGGTTTGCGTCCATATCGCAGCTATGTTATACAAGCAGTGAGGAAGTCACTACGTTGTAAACGAACTGCAGCTTCCGAAGTAGATTTAATATGCGTCGTGACAACGCTGAGCTCTCTAACGATAGCTGGTGGCGCAGCGGCCTTTTCCCGCTACGAAGGTTGGAGCTATTTCGATTCAGTATATTACTGCTTTATTACTTTAACTACAATAGGTGAGTTCAATGTGCGTAGACTATAACGTCGGCTGAGTGGAAGAACATTCTATCTCGGCTGCTGTTTCGAAAACGCCCTGTCTTAGCAAATAGTTTAAGAACGTCCCATTTCAGAATTTCGTTGAAGAACGCTCTACCTCAGAACTTGGTTTTTTTTTTAATCATTTGCTGCGATAGGGCGTTCTTCAACCATTCAAAGGGCACCTTTCAACCATTTGCTGTCATAGGCAGTTTTCGAACCGGCAGCCGAGATAGGCCGCTCTTTTACTCAGCCGTAGATACGTATGTATGTATGTACATACATATATGGTCCATATGTAGGCATACATACATATATAGCACATATAAATGTATGTATGTACATATGTATATGTTACGAACAATTGCATAACCCTGGCCGTTACAGAAACTGACGATTTACTTTTGTATTCGCTATTCGCTAGGTTTTGGAGACATGGTAGCTTTACAAAAGGACAATGCTCTCAATAACAAACCGCAATATGTAATGTTCGCACTGATATTCATACTCTTCGGTTTGGCAATTGTTGCAGCCTCGCTGAATTTGCTGGTGTTGCGATTCGTTACAATGAATACGGAGGATGAGCGCAGGGACGAAGCTCAGGCCATGCAGGTACAGTATTGGAAATTTGTACAAAAAAATCTTTAGTATTAAGAAAGTAAGCATTGGATTCATTTGATTTTCTATCAAATTAAAGTTAAATTATATTTCTCAACTAATTCTCTCGATTAATGGTTTTGAGTGTTAATTTTCACATTCATACATATGAGGGCCGTTCAGGATATTGTGGAAATGGTCTTGCATTTGCATTTGCACAGAAATATGCAAATGCAAGATCATAAGTATACACAAGATCCTGAACTGTCATATAGATTAATTTTTTTATTAAAAATCTCCGACCTCACTTTAAGTATTTTTATTTAACTTTGATATTATTCGTTATCGACTCCCTTTATGCGCTAAGTTCCTTTCCTTTATGCTAGAGCTTTAAAACTATCGATAAAAAATTTAAAATGCATTGTCGAAGATATTTGTATAAGCTTTTTAGTTTCATTTAGTTCCTCATTTTCAGTAACTTTGTCCTTTGTCTTCGATTTTTTAAATACACTCTAAAAAATTTTTGTTTAAATTTGCGCATATTAAGATAGGTAACCAGTTTCCTCTCTTAATGAATGCAAATTTAAACACTGCTTGCTTACTTTTACTTATCATATGTGTGGCGTAGGACAAATTTCAAATTTGTTTTTTGAGTTTTAAACATTTATTGTTCACATTTTCACAGTTTACACATAAAATGATTAAAATTTCCTCTAAAAACTTTTCGTTTAAATTTACGCATATAAAGAGAGGTAACCAGTTTCCTCTCCTAGTGTGTGCAAAATTAAACACTGTCTGTTTACTTTTACATATCAAATTTGTCACGTAGCGCACACAAGGGATGGGTTTTGGGGGTAAATTTATTATGATATAAGAAATTTTGATAGAAAAAATTTTCTTTTCCATTTCTAGTGCGTCATTTTGTAAGAATTTTTCTTTGTTCTTGAGAGCTCTTTAAAGTTTAACTGCGAATGAAAGCATTGTCCTAAAAATATGCAATGCATACTCACTTACTGTTGGTTTTTACACTTTACAGGCTAAAAATGTTTACCATTGATATGTACTTAATAAGCATTCGAAGATTTACTTTGCTAACTTCGAATTCGTTCCACCAAAATGAGCTACATGATAAAAATACAAGTTCAGTTAAATTTTCGTTATTCGAAGTATTAAAAAATGAGAAACCAGAAATCGACGAAAATGAATAAAAAAGTGTAAAAATTTAGTGAAGTTATTTAATTTATTTATATTAGAATTCTTTTGTAAAATTTTGTATTACTTTTGAAAGTTGAGTGCATCCTTAACCGTTAATTTTTTCATGATTTAATGATCGGATCTAAACCAAATTATTAGACGACCCTTAAGGTACCATCTTTCCCGTAAAAAAAAATAATTATTGGAATCGGTTCACGCGGTGTAAAGTTATGCGGTGGAATAAATTAAAGAAGTAAAAATACTCCGAAGAATTGATAACCTCCCCTTTTTTGAAGCCGGTTTTAAATAGTCTGAGTTCTTTGTAAATTTTATGTAAATAAAATGCAATTGATGATACTTAAAAAGTTTATTTATTTATTTCATACTGTAAATAAAACTTTCATAAATGTATTTTAAAGAGCGAATTTTCAGTATTTGCTGATGACATATATTTAGAAGTATAAACCCTTTCCCCCCAAAAATATATTCCTGCGTGCGCCCCTGGCACTTAGTATTTATTAATTGTAAAAAATATATTTTTACTTTCAAAATGTTTGTAATTTTAAACATTTCATGTGGATATTTTAAACAACTCATGTTCAAAACCAAATCTTGAACACCTTGTGCGTATACTTGAACAGATTCTGGTTGAAAAATAAACACTTTTCAGTAGTAGTTTTACATGCACTTTTTAGAGTGTATTTTAAACTGATAATATAAAAATTTAAAATTCCCAATCGTAAAAAAACAAATCGCTTGTAAACGTAAAGAAAACTATGCATTACAAAAAACTTTCATCAGTCCAACTTCGGCTACGCCACAGTATTTTTGCATAGAACTGACTCCAATATTTACGGAAAACGCCATATTTTAAGCGTGGGTTACAAGAACCCAAATCATTGTAAAAATTGCCGAACCGTGCCCCGACTTCATGCATGATTATTTATTCTTTCAAAGTATCAAACGGAAATACAAGAATATCCAAATGTTGACTAGCCCTGGCTTATATCAATAGTTTCTTCCATCGACGTAGAATCAGTAACACCATACTTTGGTTCCAAAAATATATTAAAACTATATAATTTTTTAATTTAATTGCACCCGATTTACATGATTCAAGTAATTTAAAGCAATTCAGGTTCATTCTCTTTAGCGTTTTCATTTTGCTTTTACACGCTTAAATTTTGGTTCAATTCCAGTTTTTGGTTGTTTAAAAATGTCAAAAGCAAAGTAAGAAACTTGAAACCACTTGACGGTACAGACGCAAATGTACTCTTCCCTCTTCGTTCAGAACTGCTATTGAACAGTGTTATAGTACAGATGAATTTTATTAATTAATTAATTTGTATGAAAAAAATTATAAAATAATTATTTTTTTGATCTCAATCGCTTTCTTTTCGTAAAAAATAGAAAATTTATGTATGGCAAATAAAATACATGCATAAAACAGAAGCAAATTCTGTTAACAAAATTCTGGGAACATACAAAAAAAAAACCTGATTTGACTGCACTCTTTTTATTTTGTTTTTTTGGGAGGCCATCCTAGTAAAACATGATTTAAAACTTAAAGTTTTTCTTCAAAAACATTAAGTACCCTTCGTCTAAAATCAAAAATTAATGCCACATAAGCTATATTGACAAAAATTTATAGATATGTGATAGCGTTGTTTTATACAAAAAATTCTTATATTGGTACAAATATCGATATAAGTAGGTATCGATATTTTCTTTCGATGCTACTTCCAAGAACAGGTATCGATACTTCCATGGTATCGTTTTATCCCTAAGTGTTGACCGTACTGGTTTGGAAAATGATTCTTAATAAATCGCTAAAATTTTGCATTCACATATTTAACTTAAGCAAATGTAATAAAGCTTTTGGTTTTGTTACTTCTTCAAAACTGCCCTGCCTTCAAAAAATGAAAACCTGAAAATTTAGGGAGATATCAAGTGCATTAAGTGCCATGAAAACATATTAAATGGCCCACCGTCTTATAGGAAATTTTGACCACTTTTTAAAAAATTTCAGAAATATTCTGTTATCCCATTTAATAAAAAATTTCGCACGAAACGTCTTTATGAACAACGGTACATTTCTAGTAGTAGGGATGTTACAAATATTTACATTTATGATTTTTAACATTCGCACGCCATTTGACTTAAATGATGCGAATGAGAATGTTAAACAAGTTCTCCTAAAAGTCTTATGAGCAACCTAGAAGCAATTTTATATTCCTCAATCGAAAGCGAACGCTCGGATGTGGAATCTGGGGACATCAAAAAATGTGAAATTAAAGTATAATTGAAGGCATATCTATAAGAAAAAAATTAAGGGATCTTGGTCGCAAATAATTGAGCGCCCCACCCGTCAGCGTTCAGAGTGAGCCATTGTTCAGTACAGCCGGCGAGCCTCTATGAAATCGCCTCATAGGCGAAATAGCGGAAAAATTACAATTTCTGAAATCTAATATGCCTATTTGGAACTTTCACTATTCGCTTAAAATACTGTATAGCGGTAACACTGGTTCAATGTTCTAATCTTTGTTTAATAAAAACAATGACTTAAGCTTGTTACAGCTTTTTAATGGTATTTCTAAACAATTTGACATATATATTGCATTCGTAACATCCCTGATTTCTAGCTCAAAAAAAATTATATCCATACAGATACATAAACATACGAGAAGGTACATACACATATATATACAGTGCTTCCTACAAATAATCGGACACGCTTTATGCCCGCTGAAACTTTTTTTTGAAATCTAAAGAAAAATGTAGATGGAATTTTTGAAAAAATAAGGACACAGATAGAGTTTTTGGCAAACTTTTTTATGACGTCAATAATAAATAAACCAAAAGAAAATCAAATTTAAACTCTAAAAGGCTTGTGCGACAGTGAAACCCGTCCTTCTCGGTTGCCTTAAAACTTTGGCATATTGTTATTAATTGAGCTGCGAAAACTGCTATTTTTTTGTATTGAAACGCCTTTTTGAGTTTAAATCTGATTTTTTTTTGGACTTTTAAATTTTGGTGAAAATTGTTTGAATTTTTGTGAACTTAAATATGTAAAGTGCGAATGCAGAAAAGTTACATATAGCTTGAAAATCAATATTTTTCGATCGGATAACTCCTTTTTATCTTCAGGAAACTTCCAATAATATTAATACCCTATTGTTTATTTTACCATTTTTAATACTAACGATTTTAGGGGACTCATAAATGCTAGTTAATATTAAAATTCTATACTTTTTCTACTAAAATGTGTTTTTCCTGATATACACGAAAAAATTCATTTGCTTTGAGGTAGTTCAAAATATAATTTTTTTAAACAAAAACATTTAGAAAAATCTTCGTAGAAGAGCTTAACATTTCAAAATTTTTCCGCCCCGCATGAATTTTCGGATCACCCTATGTATGTATATATCGTTACCTGAAATGCGAAAAGACGTAACAAACATCATCGTTGAAATGCAAACAGTCATAACTAATAAAAAATTCAAAATCCACTTTTTAATTTATCATCGAAATACAACTCCCCACATCATTTCATGAAACACAATTAAAATATTAGTCACGACCTTTTCCATTTCCATTATGTCACGAACATGATTACTGAATATTCCTGGAACCTTTTCAAATTTGTTTGTAAAATTCTGGCCAGCTCTATGGTGTGGTAATCGCTGGCGTAATTTAAAAACATACTTTTCCAAAATTTCTTTTCATTTGTCATGTTTATAGACAACTTCTGTGAAAATAAACTGGTCCGATTATTCGCTGGAGCCAATGTTTGAATTTAAATATTTAGACATTTACAAAAATATCTTCAAAATAATCTGTACTAATCAAAAGCATCTTTAAACTAAAATTTGGCACTTGTTTGCATGCCGTTGCTTGTAGCTTAAAAATTGCACATTGTGTCTCTAATTAAAGTATGTATGTATGTGACAGTTTTGCTAACCGTTCGACTTTTTTACAAACATATTTAAGTATTAATGAAAATAATAACGTAAAGTAAGAGGAGTAAAAAAAAAACGTATTTTCTTTTGGGTTTCTTTACAAATTTGCACAACGAACAATAAAATATGTAGTTTATGACCAAGTCCAATTATAATTGGACCAAAGAGGTGATTGCCGTATTTTAAAAAAGCATTTGTTTTAAAGTATCAAAAACATATAAATACAGCTATTGCTAACACTTTACCAAAAAAAAAAAAAAACTATAAATTAATTTTTTAATATTAAGATTGCAAAACCCATTATGAAATCAAACAAAAATTTAACTAAATACATACTTACACATTATGTACTGTTCTTTAATGAAGTATTATTCTATTATTCACATTGTTTTAAATCGGAAACTTTTCTTAAAACTTTTTCAGATATTTATCTATAAAGTGGTATTCAAAAATAAATGAGACGTAAAATTCTATAACACAAATTTTCATTCTGAAAAAAACCCTTTAATTTTTAGAGAGTAAGTAAAAAAAAACTGCCATTTTGTTTTTAATGAGTATTAAAAAGTGTTGTTAAATTTAAATTCTTTGGAACAGATATTAACGTCTGAAATATAGCGCGTTTAAGTGAAAATTTTGCTACACAGTACGCATGAAATTTTAATTTGTGCAAGCGAACGGAGAAGACGCAGTATGGGGCGTTTTGGCTTTTTTCAAAGTTTCAGTAATTACTACACCCGCATTACTGAAAATTGGTTAACATACTAGCATTTAAGGACAAAATAAGATACGTATAAAGTTACTTGCGTTTTTAATGGGGGGCGTGACACCGCTCACTTATTATAAAATGTTTTATTGCACTGGACTGGCTAATAGGCAAAATATACCACCCAGTATGTGTGCCCATCGCGAGTACTTTCCATTTCGCATAGAATTTTGACATGGAACGTCCCATATGTTTTCTAGAATATTGTTAAAATTCAATATTGGAAGGCACTTTCCGTTGGCATCTGAAGTCGAAATAAACAACTAGCGGATACTATTAAATATATTCAATGATTGTTTATTTTGTTGTATGAAATATGAACGAATTATGTTACTCATACGCCATGTATCCACGCGTTTGATCAATTCTTAATTGGAAAACATTAACTATTGATTATGCGAGGTTTAGACTCTGGGCCTCCACAATTCCAAATATTGAATGTAAAAGTTTTTTAAATGTAGGGTGCTGAAAGCGTGAAAAGCGCTGAACGACTGAAAAGCTTGGTATGGAGTTTTAACTCTACGATCTTTACAATGGAAAGACTCTAATATGATCGCTATATGTCCCTCCACAAATTTGTATTTTTTAGTTAAATCCGACTTCAAAAAAGTTATAAATTCATCGGAATTTTTTTTGGCAGGTTGGTGGCTTTCTTGGCTAGCTCAGTGGCCCTGCAATTTCCTGCAGTATCTCTATGTCGCGGGACTCTTCTGAGGCTGACCGTGAAGATGGTGCTAATGTGATTAGAAGCTGATAGGAATTCCTGTGCAACCTTTGATCTTAGCATTACCACTATGCATTAATTCTATGAATATTTTTTTTTTAGTCTCTTACATACATACATTCATACATACGAACTACATAGGCACAAACATATAGATATTAAAGAGCTGTGAAAATTAAAATAATAAACTTTACTAATACATAATCGCACTTTTGGCTGAAATTTGCAGGCCCTACAGGTTGCAGTAAAATTAGAGGGGGACGTCATAACAGCCAATGGATCCATTTTAAGCGGATACGAGGGCCACGAGGTACAGTCAAATAGTAGTGGATCAACTACATCCATGTGTTCTTGCAGCTGTGCACGTTTTAGTGCAAATCGTCATAAAACGTGAGTACAAGATACGCACATACATACATACGTACATATATATGTACATTAGACTGCATCACTCCCCATACAAAAAAAAAAATCGGTACTGTTTTTCCGCCGGAATTAAAAAATCTATTATATTTTAAGACTTTCATCGAAATATTTCGGAAAAATATTAAGATTTACGTTTTCTGGACCGATTTGAAAAAATTGAGTTTTTTGTGAAAAAAATAGTTTGTTTAAGTATTTTTTGCAACAAATCTCCTTAGCTAACAAACTAGTTTAAGCTTAAAAAATTTGCATAAAAATATTAAAAAAAAAATCAATGGAATCACAATAATGACATTTTTGATGCTGTTTTTGAAATTTTTTCAAAGGCTGATTTAAGAAAAACTTGAATAACTCAGCCTAAACTGTACCGATTCATACTAATGAGGCATCATTGCAAAGGAATTCACCCTCATCCTTTTTATTTCTTTGCAAATACGCTCATTCAAAGAATGAAAGAGAAAGGTAAAACAATCGAGTCTCATTCCATATTGAATTAGGGTGTGTTGGTATTTGACAAAGAAAAACTTGGGACATGAATGATCTTTTTTTTGCAAAGAAATAAAAAGGGTGAGAAAATACCTTTCCACTGATACCTCACAGGTCTATGTCGTTAAAGTTTTGGCCCAGTTATTAAACTTTTTCTTAAACAAATCTTTGAATAAAGTTAGAAAACAGCATCAAAAATTTCATTATTATGATTACGTTGAAAAAATGTTTGAATAATTTTATTTAGATTTTTAAAGCTTAATTTGTTTTGTCATCTGAGGGGATTTTTTCGAAAATATCCTTTAAGAAACTATTTTAATTCATAAAATACTCCATTTTTTTAGGTATTTTTCAATCGGCCCAGCTCACGTAAATCTTAATATTTTTCCGAAATATTTTGGTGGAAGTCTTAAAATATAATAAATTTTGTAATACCGATGGAAAAACTGAAATTTTTTGTTGGTGATGCGGTCTAATGTACATATGTACATATCGTTAGTGATTTAGTATTTAAAATGTATGTATGTATGTCCAACTAAATTTTTTTTTCTATTTATATCTATTATAGGCATCAGTATAAAGCTCGTCGTTCGCCCTCGCATATACGCCATTTATTACCGGAAATTGTTCCAATGCAGGACCTAAGTTACGACACCCATAGCCTGAATACGGACGGGCTCGATATCGTGGATACATCCTCAGGCTCGCCTTCAAAACCGCACAGACAATTACTCAAGCGCAATGTGTCACTACTCTCTTTTCGTATTTAAAATACAATTACTATTGATTAGAATTACGTACTTAAGTATTATGTATGATTAGTTACATATATGTAGGTATGTAGGTAAGTTTAATTAAATACAATAATTTTTAATTCGCTGGTAATCATAGCTTTTAAAATAGTATGTATTTATTATTGTATAATACTTTCATGTGCAGGTGTTCGGAATCCTACATGCATGCATACGTACATACATATGTACATACATATGAACATTAGGGTTGCCCCTAAATCTCAATCTATAGTTCCCGGGGGCGTATGATGAACGCGAAAATCAGTAACCTTTGAATTGAACTATTAAATAACTGTAAAGTCTTAATTATTATTATGGCATAGGTAGTGTCTGCTTCAAAGCATACTTGATCGGTTATGGGTACCTGCAATTTAAAAATCTAGCTTTACTTTTTCGACTTTGGCCAACTTTTTTAGATCTCCGATCATTGCGCTATTGCATTGCACTAAGGTATAGGCATGTAAGTCAGCTTTTTTCGTACTTACAAAAAAAAAAAACTTAGTTTTTGATAAAGAAAACGTCAAATCAAATAACGGTGTATTTTTATAAAAAGGTAGCCAAAGCCGTTGCCTGTGAGAGAAATACATATTTCGTTTTGTGTTCTGTCTTTTTTTGCAGCTATTTTCGAACAATCATATTTCAGTTGACAACACTGGATCTCAAATTAATTAAAATTTTTGCTGTAAACCAATATAATTACCTAAAAATTAACAAAAACATAGAAAATAAAGAAAAATGTAAATACTTTAAGATCTATAACTGGTATTCTTTGAACATTTTTTTGTTGATTAAGAAACATACTTCCGACACAACCTTTGATTGTTATTTTTTCCTTAAAAATATAATTTGAAAAAGCTTTTAAAGTTTTTGACCGTTTTTGGACTTGTTTAGACTATCAAAATCGTGCAAAAATTAAGACTTTTGAGTTTAAATGGTCAGTTTCATGTAGCGTTTTTTTTCGTGATTTCTGAAAAAATTGCTTTTTTGTGAACTATTAAACTATTTGCTGTATGGAGGGAGCGAAGATCTCAATAAAGAGAGGAAAAAAGGCTGTTTGCAGTGTTGTAGCTGCAAAGGCTGCACCTTTTAATTTTTCAACATCCAAATTATATTTGAATATAAATAGTTTTTTATAACTAAGAAGCATTTTTATCTTTAATAAAAATATAAAAAACACTGTATTCAAACTTTTTTAATAGAACCACAAATTAAATGCTGCCACTTATACCGCTCGGTCAACGAGGGTTAAGATTTTTTGTATCGCAAATATGTGGGTAGTCATATAACAATATTTTGGCGCTTATAGTTTTTCTAAGTGTTTGTCCGTGATTTTTCGCCAATTTGGTGTGTGCGCCTTGGTATGTTACACGAATGCATAGATCTATAATTTTGCACCACCTCCGAGCGGAAAATGGTCCGAAATATTTTGGTGGACGTCTTAAAATATAATAGCTTTTATAATTCCAATGGAAAAATAGTACCGATTTTTTTTTTTGTATGTGGAGTGATGCAGTCTAATATACACACATATATCTTTAGTATAGTACTTTCCATACGTACACGACTTCGTCGAAATACAAAAAGCCGTAACTCACTACAAATCCAACATTCACTGTTTGATTGATTATGATGCATTTCATCGAATTATCACACATCATTTTGTGCAAAATAAAAAAAAATTAGTTAGTTATGGCTACTTTGCATTTAAGCGTCGATGTGAGATACGCCCCTTCCATACTATACCACCGATAAGTAATAGCTAATGATAACATTGATTACACCGAGCAAGAGTCAATTTTGCACTAAAAATGTTTTTAAATAAGTTTTGGAACTAATCATACCTTTGAAATTTCAAAGTCCTTTAAAAAGTCCTGTCAGAGAGAAGAAAGAGAGAGAAAATTTAAAGCGCAGTTTTACTATATTTTGCCCATAGTTGCTTGAGTATATTGACTGTATCGTGTGTTTTGTATTTTTTTTTTTTGTTTTTGTTGCATTATACCACTCTCAAAATATACGTCTCATTTAGACATAAAAATTATAAAAATTTTCCATAATGCATTGTTCAACGTAGTCAAGTCTTCAAATATTTTGAAAGTTAATTTGAAAGTACATAGGCTAGGTTAGGGGTTGAAGCGTCTGCCTTCATCCAACGTAGGAGAGAGGCACACTTAGATCCAGTGGGTATGGTGTGACACCAATTGAGAGGCTGGGCCAGATTTGTCGAGTTGTCCTACTCGAGGGTTCTACCGACCATCTTCGAGTCCTTCCTCGGAGGGATACGAGTTGAAGGCACATAAATAACCGAAAAAGGTTTAAATTTATTTATTTTTATTTATGTTTAATTTATGCATTTATAACGTTTCAAATCTACAGTCATATATTCAAGCCATCTATACACATACATACATACATATATAGGGCAGTAAAATTTTGCGAGTAAAATTATTTTATGAAGTCAAACTTTGCAAAGCTTTTCCATAGGAAAACCGGTTTTTACCGTGCAATCCGTGCAAACCATGCATCGTGCAAGGGTTTTGCAAGACTTCGAGAATACCCTTTTCACATTCGAAAATCCATTTTTTTTCTCAGGGCGATGTCCTAAGACAAGTGACGCATTTAATTTTGCATTACCTAGTATCGAGAAATGAATATGTTTTAATATGAAATTTTCGGAACTTTTTGAATACATTAGAATGCTGATTACATAGTTAGCAGTAATATAATCGAGAACTCATAAGAAATACATTATATTATTTATCACGCAGGTAATGCATCTCTTCTTATCCGACTGGGTGAGTATGTATGCACCTATGTGCGTATGCATGCATGTGGTGTACGTGAATTTTTTGTGAATGGTCGTTGAAGCGACCTTAATTTATTATAATGACTACTATGTGCTTTCCTGCGCTTCATTTTAAAATAAGTAGTATATTCATACTAGGGTGCTTTTTTTTGTGGCTATTGTTTTTTTTCACTCCTACCTCGAAATTATGTGAAAAACGCCTTAAAAAACTCACTGAAAATTTGAATCCTTAATATTAACATTAAGTATTGCAATTTTGCAACAATTGCAACATTTAATAGTGCAAATGATTTCCCATATAAAATACTGGTAAACTTCGATTTTATTTTCAAAACTCTACAGCTCAGAGACATTTTATGGTATGATTACAATCAATGACAGATTTTCTTCAGACCACCAAAGCCAATATTTTGATTAATTTCCCGTTTTTTGCCGCTATTTCGTAAACAACAAGAGCTACAGAAAAAATGTTAATGAAAATTTGTAGGAAATTCAATTTCCTCCACAAAAGTTTTGGAACATTAAAAAGCATTTCTTGAGATCTAGGGCTTTGAAGTTGAGCAACAATTTCTACAATTTAGCTCAATAATGAATGAAAATTCCACACTACCCCAACTTCAAAGCCAGCCCAATATTTCAAGATATATCGATGTTAGTGATTTGGTGGACCAGAACTTTTTTGTATAAAATTGAATGGCCTACACGTTTGTCATTAGCAATTTTTCTGTAGCTCTTGTTATTTACGAGATAGGGGCAAAAAAAACGAGAATTTAATCAAAATATTGGGTTTGGTGACCTGTACTAACTCGCTGATGGAAGTTAGAGTTACGCCACAATGGACACTTTTGTAGAACATTTAAATTCTGAAGAAAATCCCTCATCGACCATAATTCTACCATAAAATGCGTCTGAGCTATAGAGTTTAAAAAAAAAATCAAAGTTTACGTGTATTTTATATGGGAAATCGTTGCACGCCTTAGGCGGGTACTTAATATTAATCTTAAGGGTTAAAATTTTTTAGGTGTTTTCCACAAAATTTCGAAGTAGGAGTGAAAAAAAAAACAGTAGTCGCAAAAAACCACCCTAATACATACATATTGTAAATACGTATTTATCCAAATTTAAATAAGAAAACATTCATTATTTTAAATATACATATGTATCTATGTACATATGTAGGTAGATAGGTATTACAGTGGAATCCGCTTGACTCTAAGTCATTTAACTAACTCGCACTATCACCATCAAAATAAAGTTTGGCGAGTTAAAATGTGGCATAATCGAGAATGAAAGAATTAATTAGTAATAGTAGTAGTAGTAGTCATAACACCGAAACTAATCAAAATATGTATTTCATAGAATTTGCGCCACATACATACATACATATGTAAGTCTGCCTCGCATATAAACATGTGAAATTGAATAAATCAAATCTTTTCCGCTATTCCAAGTATTATTAAATGAAAAAAATACTATTGAATCTATTGAGGGGCTAGAAAATTACAACTACAACTAAGCGGAATCGACTGTATATCTTCTTCTAGTTAATTTATAGGATACGAGCAAATGAATATGTTTTTTCTAAATTAATTTAATTGAGAATTTATTATATGAACATTTTATTATATACGTACATATGTAAATACATAGAAATCTAACATACTAATGCATGCGTGTATACCAAAATTTCTAAAACCAATGACAAGATCCAGTTAAATAAATATTTGATTAGTTTAAATACATTCATTACTACATAAGTGCTAGCGTGGGCCGAAAATCCACTGTTTAAGAATTTTGATTGGTTATAGCCAAAATATGATTCATTATGCTCTAAAAACAATCTGTGTGAAAGATTACAATTTAGGCTCGCCCAAGTCCATCAAATATCAAGCTGTGAAAAAAAAAAACTTTCTTACCGTATTCATATGGGCCCACAGCCTGTAAGGACCCATTACAGAGCTCTCATATAAATCTTAGATTTGTCTTTCGGAGGGTAAGCTGTCCCCTAGTTCTCTTGGGGTTGTAACATCTTAAAAGTTCTTCCGCCTGCCTTAGTACAGGCGTGTTCTCTCGCATGTGTTCTTCTGTTCTTAACTCTTTCCTGCTGCCATCAGGTATCACTGGGAGGAGAAGTTCTAGACCAGGGTTAGAACTACGGCAAGCTTAAATCGGAGTTAATGACATGAAAAATCGTAGCAGAAAATAAATTTCCGGAGTAGATTTTTTATAGGTCGCTCGTCATAATCCAACGAGACATTTTTTTTTAGTTAAGTATGCAAAATGGCTGCCGATCCTTATTTTATACTCGCCGAAAAATGCGTTACGCTATCCTTCAACAGTATCCCTGGAAAATTACCTGAACTCATTAAATTGTGTTTGTATTAAAAAGAAAAACAATTCTATATTCTATATTATGTTACACAAAGTACTCTTCTACATTCTTCCTTAGCGGTCTGTTCATTGAATATGTGCACTGGCGTCAGGTCTAGAGTGGCCTCCAGGGTAGAGGTGGGGCAGTTAGATATGCAGATGCACGCCAGCCGCTCAAACCTGGAGGTGCATGCGTTAAATACAATTTAAAAATTAGATGCGGCCTATTTTATTAGAAACCGGCTATTTATTTTAGTGATTTGAGATAGAAAAAAATAATAAAAACGGGATATATGAAAATCGGAGGGTTTAAAAAACTGCGATCCCTAACGTTTCACATGCATACATATGTATGTGTGTATATAAAATGTATTAAATGAATTTCGTACACAGGGTTTTAGAATTTCCACCCAAATATAGATAATTTTTTTTTTTAAATTAAGAAAAATCATAATTATTGCAATTACTCTTCGAATACACCAATTGATAATACTGAATGATAAAATTTATTGCTTTCAGCTATATTCTGAATTCGCCGATTTGGTTAGGTAAGAACTGGCAAAAACTTCCCTTACAAAATTTTCAAAAATGCCTTTAGCAATCCTTAAAAATTAGCTAAAAGTTGGAAAAATTGCCTGAAAAAGTTTAATTCATATTGACACTTAGCAAATAATTGTTTTTTTTTTTTTTGTTTTTACTTTATTTACTGTTTTCCATTACAATGAACCACAGGATACATTTTAGATCACACTGTGTAATAGAGAAAATTTACTTTTTGAGTGTCCCAGTAGTACTAAGATTAACAATTTTCTAGCATTCTGAACTTTTCACAAACAAACAACAAAGCTTTTAACAATATTTTATGCTTTATTCATTTCAAAAGTTTTTTCTCATATTAAAATCAATTCAAAACTGATGATTTTATAAAATTTTTAGTATATGTATCTCCGAATTTAATTTTTCTTAATTCTACGAAAATCGTTTTCAGTTACGAATATTTTTTTTTTTAAATTCATATTCACTGTACGATTTTGAGATTTCAAGTTGTATCTTCGTTTGGGACCATATTCGCCTATGCTAAATCCGGTGGAAACAATATGGTCTAAAATGAAGTAATTTGTCAAACCAAGTATGGATGTGCCCAATGTTGAGGGTCCAGGAGCAGAGGCTGCAGTACTTGGAAAAAGATTGATCATGCCAAGGTAGCCATATCAGGTGGAGATTGTGGTGGAGCAACGCAGCATTGCTTTTCATTTCATGCTAAGTATGTATGCAAGTATGTACAGCAATGGTTGAATTGTTCTCTTTTCCTTAAATGAAAATAAATAATTGCATACATAGAGCTAAAGACTTGCACAAATTTCGTATATACATACATAAATATGTGTATTTCCATTGAATGCAAGGTATAAAAAGTTTTCTGAACTTAATTTGAAATTGTCCGAACTTAAATTGTAACTTTCTGAATTTGAAATGTAATTTTCTGAATTTGAATTGCAACTTTCTGAATTTAAAATGAGAATTCTGAATTTTAATTGCGGCTTTCTGAATTTAAAATGGAAATTCTGAATTTGAAATAGAAATTTTGAACTTTAATTGTAACTGTCTGAATTTAAATTGCAACTTTCTGAACTAAAACTAAAAAAGAGTGTAGACGAATTGTTTAACTTCAAACGCTTAACCAAAATTCGGGTATAATTGCGAAAATGGTTTTATTAGAATTTAGAGTGTTAGAAAATGTTTGAATAAACTTTTTTAATTACTTGCTCAGGACTATGGACTCTATTCCGTTATTATAGGCAATATTTAGTCTTGCGTTGTAAAGCCTGCAAAAGTGAGAAATAAAGAAAAAATAAACAAAATGAAACTAAAGATCTGCCAACACTGCCAAATTCATAACCCCAGCAAAGAATATCTTAGAATGTATTGCACAATAGAGCGTATTACGATATATGGGCAGAAAAAAAGTTTGATTGTTGACTGTTTGAATGTTTCAGTACCACAAACGAAAATACATAATAGCTCTGATCCAATACTTTTCGTGAAAAATCCTGTAAAACTGTCAAACAGCAAAATTACTCTCTGAAGTGAGAGTAAAAAGTGAGTAGCAAAACAAAAATTACGGGAACAAAAAAACCATTTTTCCTGTAAAAACGTCAACCAGTGATTGCTTGACACTTTTCATGATATTACCAGAAGAAAAAGTTCGGGTAAAATCTCGCAACTTCATTCTCTACACAACTCTCCAAGCTAACACTTTAAATTTTTATTGAAGGTATATTTTAATATATGCTACCAAAATCTGTGAAAAACGCAATAAAATTTTCCAAATCCAAGCACAATCAATATTCGCAAATTAAACTCGACCTTCTCAGCGGCCTTCCATTATTTTGAATACTTTTGAATTTTGAATTTTTTTATTGTAAGCACAAACGT